CTTAGGTGTACGTGGCTGGCGCCTTAGTCGGTTGAGCTATAGGCGCCGAGCCTGGATACTAGACTCTTATCAGATATGTAATTTGTAGGTATTTTTTCCCTATCCTATTGGTGATCTCCTTACTTAATCTGGGTATTGCCAGAGGTCTTCGATAAGACCTCAGAAGTGTCAGTGTCTGTCAGAGGTGGGGAGCTGCCTTCCCGGCTGTTGTCCAGAGCAGAGAAGAGGAATCAGCCAACCATGCAAGTGGGGGCCACCCTGAATGAGGCAGGGTTGGAGCTGCTGTGCTTAGGGGCCACTTCCAGGCCAGAGCCCATCTGGGCTTGGCTGTGATTGGGGTGACTAGACTCTTCTTGTTCCTCTGCCTGTTCCTTCCCTTCTGACTGCTGAGGGTGAGACAAAAAAGGATTTTGGTGGTTTATAACAAGGGGGTGGGTTTGTCTGCTTCCTGTAAATGGGAGGGGGCTTCAAGGCCTTGGCCGCCTAACACAGCTGCAGTAACATCATGGGTCTTGCATTCATGTTCACAGATGTCACATGCAGCCTGTGGAGGCTTCCCATCAAGCTGACTACACTACCACTGCCTTTGCTCTTGGGGAGACCCCCAGGGAAGTCTTAGACAGACCTGACTGCAAAATGTGACCTGCTTGAGAAACTGGGCCTGTGGTGTAATTAGCCAACTGCAAGATAATAAATTATATTATGATAAGTTTGAACTTTGGTCAGAATGGCCTCTCAGAATAATATATGAAAAGTATCTAAGTCCCCATGAGAGCTTTACCCTAGTCATGGACCTGGGACATTTTGGGCATATCTAGAAGTATTTAGGCAACTTCCCCCTCTGAGTGAGATGAAATCTTTCTAGAATTGATGTTTTGTAGTAGGCATATGAAGGGCAGTTTCTGAGACAGAAAATGGTTTTTCTAATCGTTTGTTAACATCCAAGAAATTTTCTTTCCCAAATTTAAGCCAGGCCTCTTACAGAGAGTGCTGTGGGAAAAAGGGAAGCAAGTATTAATAGTACTTAAATGCAGAGGGCAAAAAGGCACAGAGTGAAGTGTGCTGGTTCTTATAAACCCAGGTCCGGGAGGAGGAGGTTTTCTCTCTTTAGGCATTGGGAGCAGGAGTCTTTGGCCCAGTTAGCCCAGGCTGTGGACTGGCAGCAGGTGGGCCCATGGTGACTTTTTGCAGATTCTGTATTTTCCAGATTGCCTTTCTTTCTTGATTCCTAAGTAATATTACTGTAAATTGTGAACTCTGCGAGAACAACCAGGTCTTAAATTGGTTACAACTTCAGCCACTGCCTTCTTGCTGGGAGGGGTTCTGCTGCAGAGGCACTGGGGTCCTTGCTGAGGTAGGATGGGGCCTTGGCCCCTCTGGGGCCCAACTGTGGCTGGATATTTTAGGGCTAGTCAGAAATGGTGGCTCCAGACACTATTAGGAAAGTCAGAATTTTGACAACAGAGATGATTTCTGCCCCCATAACTGTGTTTTTGTGGATTCTGTGGGAACAGTGTGTTCAGTCCCTGGCAGGGCTGCTGGGACCTTCCCCCTGTCTGGGGGGGTGGGTGGTGGCAGCATAAAATGAAATCCAGTTCCTTCAAGAAGAGTTCTTGGTAAGAAATGGACTGTAAAAAATGCAAACATACTATTTTTCACCTATTAGATAGGCAAAGATCCATAATTTCAGTAGCCCAGGACAAGCAAGGGTGTGGGAAAACATTTCAAACACTGTGGCCAGAATGTAACTTGCTACTCTGGGGAGCAGTATGGCAATATGATAAACTTGTATAGAAATTACAAATTGCCCTTTGTGCCAGAAATTCTGATTCTAGGAATTCATTGTTGATCATACAGGAGCGGTACCTGTATAGTGCCATGTTCTCTATGAGCGCAAAAGACAGAATCCTTCAGGGATGGATCTGTGGCAGCATCACATGCTCTTGATGCACTGATGATGTCAGCATGTATTCTGAAGTCACATCAATGTAAGAAGCAACAGTTGGACTAGTGTAGCTACCATCCATGTGAAGCTGGGGATAGAAATATATTTACCCTAACATCTCTAGGGTGACACAGGTAGCTGTTTGCTGCCTGTGGAGGGGAGATTGCAGGGGAAGGGGGTGGCTTTTATCACACCTGCTCAAGCTTTCTGAAATGTGAACCATGTACACAGGTTTAAAGAACTCTTAGAAACAGAATGGTGCCATAGAAGGGAAGGTAGAACGTCATCTTAAAACCTGAATTTACACTTTTTCAAACTCTCAAGTCAACCCCTGCCCCTGGCACTGGAGGGGTTCCTGCCAGAGAGACAAGCTGTGTCAGAACACGTGGGGATGCAGGTGACTAGAACGAGGCCTAGAACACGGAGCTGTGTGTGAGGTGCAGCCTGGTAACCTCCTTCGAGTCCCTGCTGCCTGGGCCCTTCAGGACATCGGGCTCTGCAGAGAACACTGTCACAGTCCTGTCGTTACAAATAGCATTTTGTGAGGTTAAAGTATTTAGAATCATGTTAAAAAATAGGAAAGACAACTATAGGACAGAATGAAAACATTAAATCCTTGGCAATGTCAACATAATACAACAATAGAAACAGGGCAGGGGAGGTGAGGATCTATGTGGTCTCAAACCCTTCATCTTTCATAGCAGACTTTAAGTTGATAAACCAAGAAATAGCAGTGAGACTGTTATTTAAAGCTGCACTACTTACTTGACAAGCTAAGAAACAGAAATTCGTGGCTGTGGTTATCTCTAGAAAGCTGGGAATTTTGGACTACTACAGCTGGCTCGTAGCACCATGCATTTCTTATGCTAATGAATGGTAATACTAGCAACAAAACACATACATTTCTATATATAAAAAGCATTGTGTAGGGAAACCTACAAAAATAGCTATTCCTACCCTTTGCTGCCTATGTGAGGGTCTGCTGCAGAGCTGTGGTTCAGGGCCTCAGAACCTCTCCAATCTTCCCTAGAAGAAGGGAATCAACTTGATTCCTCTCATCTGAGGGTTGAGCTAGCCCTGGTGAACTTGGAGGAAGCAGCAGAGAAGTTGGGCTGGGTTGTACCTGGCGCTCTTGTGTGTGAATGCAGACCTTGTGACAGGGGTGGGTGTGTCCCTTGCTCTGCAGGGAGTGGCCTGTTCTCTTCAGAGATGGTCTTTTCCCAAAAATATTAACTGTCTAAGCCTGTTGCCACAATGATTTCCCCCTTATTTTGTCATCATAAAAAAAAAAGGCAGATGATTCTCTGCTCACAGCAATAAGGCAGGCAAAGTGTTGGCGGGACTGGCGCCACTGGTGGTGGCAGCTGGAGGTTCTAGAGGTTCCAATGCTTGTCGGTAAGCATTCACAGCAGCGCTGTTCTCAGTGACTGAAAGCTGGAAACAGCAGGTGCTGTGTGCTGACCAGGGATGTACCACCAGTACAGCATTCACACACGGACGGTACTCCCAGAGAAAGGAGAGCGCTGGTTCAAGATGCCACACAATGAACCTTGCAGAAGTCGTGTGTGGTGACAGAAGCCAGTCTCTCAAGGCCATGTGTCGTGACCGGGCGAGTCACAAAGACAAAAAGCAGATCAGTGGTTGCAAGCTGGGGGGAGAGTGGCTAGCAGTGTGGTGGGGCTCTCTCAGGGACATGCTTTGACATCAGGGTGGTTGCCCAGCTCCAGAAGGTACTAAAAGCTATGAGTTTGCACTTCAGATGGGAAGCTGTGTATTGAGCCTCTTGATACAGACATCTGAGCTAGGGTTTCCTAGCGGCTGTGGTGTGACTAAAGGCTATGCTGAGTTGCTGCCTGCAGTGGCCCTATGGACTCCTCATCTTTCTCTCTGTGTGCTCTGGTGTCTTGGGGTTAATGTCTAGCTGCATGGGGTTCCACAAGGCTGCCTTCCTGCCCTCAGGGAGAGCAGGTTTTACTCAAATTTGCCTCTTCTTCAAGCTTGCAGAGTTTCCACTGGGTCCACTGTAGTTTTCTGCAGCTGCTGCTTCTTCTTTACCTAAAATTGCTGAAGGCTTTGGGGGGGCTCTGCTGGGAGGTGTGAAGAAGCAGAATCCCTACCAGAAGGTGTCCCAGGGTGAGGGACGTTACGGCACCTCATGTAGTAACATTGCAATCCCTGTTTATAGCTTACACATCTTCTCTACTTTGTTTTCCAGAAGTTTATTCATTGATTTTTAGTGGCCAGGTAACATTTGTGTGTAGCACTAGTGAGAGTGTCTCTGTGACCTGAGACGTTATTTGGAAATCGTCTGTGAGCAGAAGGTGGACCCAGCATTTCCATGTTGAGTGGATGATGTGTGTTACCTTTACTTTTTAGGTGAAGCCAAAAACCTTCCCTCCTACCCGGGGCCAAACAAGATGAGAGACTGCTACTGCACGGTGAACCTGGACCAGGAGGAGGTTTTTAGGACCAAAATCGTGGAAAAGTCACTCTGGTAATGTCCTCCATCACTTGTTTGATCTGTAATGTTTTCTTCCTCTATGCGGAGAATACCCAGAACACTTGGTCATTGTGCCATTTTTCTTTTTTTTTTTTT